ATTGCTAGAGCCCAGGAGACTGAGGCTTCAGTGAAACATGATCGCACCACTGTTCTCCAATCTGAGTGACAGAGCGAGACCCCATCTCAAAATAAAATAATAAATGAGGTCTATAGGGTGGATTCTAATACAGTGTCACTGGTGTCCTTATGAGAGGAAATGTGGACACAGTTGTGTACACAGAGCAAAGAGCGTGTGAAGGCACAGGGAGAATATAGCCGTTTAGAAACCAAGGAGAGACCTCAGAACAAAGCAACTTCCCCAACACCTTGATCTTGAGCATCTGGCTTTCAGAACTGAGAAAATAAATTTGTTGTTCAAGTCACCCAATCTGTGCTATTTTGCTATGGCACCCCTAGTAAACTAATACGCATAGCTTCCAGAAATAATGTCACCAATTCGAATAGTATATGGCATTAGTTATTACAAATTTGAAACACTACGTTTGACAAAAATCCTAAAAAGTTGTGACATTATCACTTACAAGGTGTGAAGATAAAATTTTTGTAAATTACCAAGAATTTTTAAAATGTGGCCTGGTACGTGGCTCATATCTGTAATCCCAGCACTTGGGAGACTGAGGCAGAAGGATCACCCTGGGCAACACAGCGAGATCCTGTCTCTCTCTCTCTCAAAAAAAAAAAAAAAAAAAAAAGGCCGGTCGCGGTGGCTCATGCCTGTAATCCCAGCACTTTGGGAGGCCGAGGCGGGCAGATCACGAGGTCAGGAGATCAAGACCATCCTGGCTAACATGGTGAAACCCCGTCTCTACTAAAGAGGTAACTGTGTTAAAATGAGGTCTTTAGGATCCGGGCGCAGTGGCTCACACCTGTAATCCCAGCACTTTGGGAGGCCGAGGCGGGCAGATCACGAGGTCAGGAGATCGAGACCATCCTGGCTAACATGGTGAAACCCCGTCTCTACTAAAAATACAAAAAATTAGCTGGACATGGTGGTGGGCACCTGTAGTCCCAGCTACTCAGGAGGCTGAGGCAGGAGAATGGTGTGAACCCAGGAGGCGGAGCTTGGAGTGAGACAAGATTGCACCACTGCACTCCAGCCTGGGCGATGGTGCGAGACTCAGTATTTAAAAAAAAAAAAAAAAAAAAAAAAGGTGGGGGATTTTTGAAATATGATCAATCTTTCTGGAAGACTGAATTACTTTTCTCTTTAGGAAAACGTATTTATCATATGAAAAGGCTATCAGAGCAGGCAGCTTAAAAAAATTGTAGACTAATATATAGGTTTGTCAGGTAGACAATTTTTGACAGCTTTTAAAAAAATTATTCGTTGACAGCTTTTCTCATTCTAAAACAAATATTCACGTTTTCCCCCTAATCTTGTATTTATTTTTCTTAAAGGGGGCTCCAAAAGTTACACATTTCAGGCACCCAAAAACCTGGATCTACCCCTGGGACTAACCGAATGGATATGGGGAGTTTCTGGGCCATTTGGGGAAATCATACTCCAGTACCCTGGGCTCTGTCTCCTAAGAAATATCAGAGCTGGAGGGCTGATTAGTACGAACTGCAATGATTGAGGATTTCGGATAGACTTGGGATAGCAAAAGCTGCATTGAAGTTTAGTGGAGAAAAGAGTTCAGACACACCTAATCAAAAATGTGAGAAGTCTGCAATGAGGTTGGGGCCACAGAGACCCTGGACAATAAGCCATGGAGCGAACCCACTTACCTCTCCTGGGGTGTCTGCTCCTCATGCTGATTCTGCTCTTCAGCATATCTTGTTTCACTTACAACACTTACTGACCAGTAAGTGCTCTGTGCCGACATCACAACTTGGCCATTATGATGTAATGAGGAGGCATCTGTTATTCTCAGGGTAGGGCTTCCCTAGTAGGAACATTCTAATTACTTTGAGGGTAATTGGATTCTTTCATTATTCAAGTGATGTAGAAGTCAATCCTGTTAGAACTTAATCTTTTTCAAGGACCTCTTCCTTGTATAATGGATCACTCCATTCTGAATTAGGCAGACATCCTTGCTTTTCCTTTCCATATTTCTCCTCCTCCGCTTTAGGGGGTTGCATTTGGTAAGTGCTTTGCTCTTCCATCCAGCACTTAAGAAGTAGAATGTAGGCCGGGTGCGGTGGCTCAGGCCTGTAATCCCAGCACTTTGGGAGGCCGAGGGGGGCGGATCACGAGCTCAAGAGATAGAGACCATCCTGGCCAACAGGGTGAAAGCGTGTCTCTACTAAAAATACAAAAATTAGCTGGCCGTGGTAGTGCACACCTGTAGTCCCAGCTACTCCAGAGGCTGAGGCAGGAGAATCGCTTGAACCCGGGAGACGGAGGTTGCAGTGAGCCGAGATTGCATCACTGCACTCTGGCCTAGCCACAGAGTATGACTCTGTCTTAAAAAAAAAAAAAAAGCAGCAGCAGAATGTAATTCAGATGGCCTCCTTAAGGAAGGATTCCCCCACCCAAGGAGAAACGCGGGGCTTTCCCCAAGCTCTTCCCTTTAACTCTTGGTTAAAGCAGTTGGTACTGGGTTCCAGAGAAGAGCTGGGCCTTGGTAAATTTCCCACTACCCAAAATGATGATAGGATCCCGTTGGGAGTGTCTTACGTCAGGCCTGCCTGAGTCCTCCAAAAATCCTTCCTCTCGACGTTTGCATAGCCAGAGGGCACTCCAGTAGAAAGAGAATAGGACTTTTAGGAAATAAGGTAGCTCTCTAACCAGGGCCATCTCTAGCTCCCTGAGCTCTAGCTGAAGAAGGGGAGTAAGTAAGGAGGTCTCTCTCACAGTCTCACACAAAGCAGACTGCTCACAAATTGACTGGAGGCAAAGCACCCAGGAAGCAACTGGCTACAAAGCTGCTCCAGCCGGGCGAGATGGCTCATGCCTGTAATTTCAGCACTTCAGGAGGCCGAGGCGGGCGGATCACGTGTGGCCTGGAGTTCGACACCAGCCTGCCCAACATGGCAGAACCCCGACTCTACTAAAAAAAATACAAAAACGGCCGGGAGCGGTGGCTCACGCTTGTAATCCCAGCACTTTGGGAGGCCGAGGCGGGCAGATCACGAGGTCAGGAGATCAAGACCATCCTGGCTAACACGGTGAAACCCCGTTTCTACTAAAAACATAAAAAATTAGCCGGGCGTGGTGGCGGGCGCCTGTAGTCCCAGCTACTCCGGAGGCTGAGGCAGAAGAATGGTGTGAATCCGGGAGGCCGAGCTTGCAGTGAGCCGAGATCGCGCCACTGCACTCCAGCCTGGGCAACAGAGCAGACTCCGTCTCAAACAAACAAACAAACAAAAACTGGGCGTCCGGCGCAGGGGCTCACGCCTGTAATCTCAGCCCTTTGGGAGGCCGAGCGGGTGGATCATCTGAGGTCAGGAGTTCGAAACCAGCCTGGCCAACATGGTGAAACCCCCGTCTCCACTAAAAATATAAAAATTAGCCTGGCGTGGTGGCACGCACCTGTAATCCCAGCTACTCTGGAGGCTGAGGCAGGAGAATCGCTGGAACCCAGGAGGCATAGGTTGCAGTGAGCTGAGATGGCGCCACTGCACTCCAGCCTGGGAGACAGAGCAAGACTCCATCTCAAACAAACAAATAAGCAACAACAACAAAAATTGGCCAGCCACAGTGGCTCACGCCTGTAATCCTAGCACTCTGGGAGGCCGAGGCGGGCAGATCACTTGAGGTCAGGAGTTCAAGACCAGTCTGTCCAACATAGTGAAGCCCCGTGTCTACTAAAAAAAAAAAAAAAAAAAAAAAAAAATTAGCCGGGTGTGGCAGTGCGTGCCTGTAGTCCCAGATACTCGGGGACTGAGGCAAGGAGAATCGCTTGAACCTGGGGAGGCTGAGGTTGCAGTAAGCCGAGATCGTGCACTACACTCCAGCCTGGGCGACAGCAAGACTCTGTCTCAGGAAAAAAAACCCAAAAAACAACACACACACACTCCCCCCGACCTCCCACAAAAACTGCTCACAAGGGTGCGCCCTCTACTGGAGGGTGAAGAAACCTCGTCATTACAGGCCTGGTACTGTGGTACTCCCTGAAATTAGACATTATCAGACATCTACTGAACTGATTCGCAAACTTCCCTTCCAGCATCTGGTGTGAGAAATTGCTCAGGACTTTAAAAGAGATTTGCCCTTCCAGAGTGCAGCTTAGTGGTGCTTTGCAGGAGGCAAGCAAAGCCTATCTGGTTGGCCTTTTGAAGACACCAACCTGTGTGTTGTCCATGCCACACGTGTAACACCTATGTCAAAAGACATCCAGTTAGCATGCTGCATGCGTGAAGAATGTACTTAAGAATCCATTATGGGCCGGGCGCGGTGGCTCAAGCCTGTAATCCCAGCACTTTGGGAGGCCGAGACGGGCGGATCACGAGGTCAGGAGATCGAGACCATCCTGGCTAACACGGTGAAACCCCGTCTCTACTAAAAATACAAAAAACTAGCCGGGCGAGGTGGCGGGCGCCTGTAGTCCCAGCTACTCGGGAGGCTGAGGCCGGAGAATGGCGTGAACCCAGGAGGCGGAGCTTGCAGTGAGCTGAGATCCGGCCATTGCACTCCAACCTGGGCGGCAGAGCGAGACTTCGCCTCAAAAAAAAAAATAAAATAAAATAAAATAAAAAAATAAAGAATCCATTATGATCGGGGAAACTTCATTCTCAAAAAAAAAAAAAAAAAAAAATGTTAGATTTTTTTCCCCCATGGGGTCAAAAGGTACCTAAGTACATGACTGTGAGCAGAATAGGAGACAGAAGTCAGGTGTTGTCAGTTTTTCAATTTTCATGTGTGTGTGAATTTTTAATAAAAATGTGGGTGGGGAAGTAAAGCATTAATGCAAGTCAAAATGTTTCAGTGGTTCAACTTTATAATAATTATAAGCAAACTTACTAAATTTTTCTGGACACACACACAAAAAGAAACAAGGTGACCAAGAAATTGAGTCAAGGAGGGAATCTTGCTTCTGAGTCTCTTGTTGCCCTTAGCCCCAAACACACAATACTTCTGAATATCTTATTACATACTTTCTTTTCATATTTCAACTTTATTTAAAATGTGAGGTTTTATGTCCAGAAGGGAGGGCAGTTGCCCATGGAAGTCCAAGTGAGGCACAATACTATTGGGTTGAGGGCCAAGTGCACAGGGTTGATTTGGGGAGATTCACATAGGAAATTTTCATTTCCTCCCCAGGTTAGCTATTCAGTGGATGGATTATTCAGTCTTTTTAGCAAGGTCACTGCTCCTTAGCAACATCAACAAAAGTGCCAAAGTTGGGGACACAGAAAATACTGTCATTGTCTTTTGTTTCTCTTTTTCGCCTGGATGGGGAAAGGAATGGAAACTAAGAGCAGAAAATGAAACATTTGTGATGTTATCCCTTGCCATGGAAAATCACGGGTTTGTGTAGAGACCTCCTTCTTTTCTTATTTTTATTTTATATATTTTTTGAGGGTCTCACTGTCACCAGGCTGGAGTGTAGTGGTGTGATCATAGCTCAGTAACCTCCAACTCTTGCGCTCAAACGATCCTCCTGTCTCAGGTTCCCGAATAGCTGGGACTACAGACGTGTGCCACCATGTCTAGCTAATTTTTTAAGTTTTTCTAGAGACAGGGTCCCACTATGTCGCTAAGTCTCAAACTCCTGGGCTCAAGCAACGCTCCTGCCTCAGCCTCCCAAAGTGTTGCGATTACAAGTATGAACTACTACACCCAGCACAGACCTGTTTCTTAGCCTGGGAATGGGATGCGATAAGGAGGCCTGAGTTTAAGTCCCATCTTGAGCTGCACTAACAAATTCTATGACCCTGCTAGAGTCGTTTCTCACCTCTGGACCTGTGTTCTCATCTGTAAAGGAGCCTGGAGCCAATGATGTCTGAAGAGAAGCCTTTTCAGGTCTGATTCTGTGACCTGCAAACTGTAAAGACCCCAACAGGCTCCAGAAAAACATAGCAGTTAGAAACAAGGGAATGTAGGTGTTAGATGGAAAACCGAGAAGCTAGGGCTCACAATGAAATGTTTTTCTACATTCACAAAGAAAAACAAACAAAACAGGACGGAAGCTATGGGACAGGTAGGTGTAGGAAGATATCTGCGGTCTGGATGAGAGGAATGGGCAACAGAGCTGGATTGCCTCAAGGACCCAAGCCTATGACCTTGGTAGTGTTTTCTCTTACAGCACTTCCCAGTGCACCGCTGGCATGTTATATTCCAAATTGCTCCTGTTCATACAGTCATGAGCCGTCAGAGGAGTTTCCACCATAACGCCTAATGTGTGACACATTAATAGGGTGGCTGAAGATTCCGCTAAACTTCTAGCGTTCCCTGTGTCAGATTAGACTGCACCTGGCTGGGAGAAAGCAGTGGATGCAGCTCTCTCCTAGCACACTCAGCTTTGCTTACTGGGGGTATGAGAAATACAGACGGAAGTTTTGGAAGAGCAGTGCAAGATAGAAAGGGCATACTGACTAATCTTGGTTGATTTGCAGATGGTGGGGTTTGTGGTAGTGCTGAATCAGCTCAACCCAACGCGAGAGAAAGCCAGGGGGTTGGGAAAATCTCAGTGCTGAAGTCCTGGGAAAGGAGTACACACCAAAGGCATCAGGGCAGGGAATCTCTCCAGAGAGCCACTCAAGAAATATTAGTTTCTTCCCTATTTTACAAGGTTTGGTAGCACTGACAGTTATGTAAAGTCAGGTTCCAAGGAGACACCCATTATTTGTGTGCGTAAGAAAGTAGCTCAGCCAGACCCAGCCCTGAGGCAGTGGGGAAACTAACAGCTTACCCAAGCCTTGGGGCAGCTCAATATGGGAATAATCAAGACCAAAATGTTGTTCTATAAAGCTGAGATTGGGGGCAGTGAGCCAGGGTACTTCTCAGAGAGAAAGAGCTTAGGGAACAGGATTATCATTAGCATTCTGCCCACAGAGTTGGCACTTACCCAGTAACATCAGGATTCCTAGAAAAGGCCCAAGCACAGACCCTCTAGCAGGTGTCTCAGTCATGGACCCAACCTAGTGGCAACAGTAGGGGGTTTATCTGTTCAAGGCCAGTGGGGGAAGAGGGAGGGAGGTGGCACACCAACAGGTGTGGAGCGCTGGCTAGGGCCAGGAGACAATTCCAATGTATGGAAAGGCTAGAGTGTAAGTAGGCAGGTGAGGGGGGTCCCGTGCTGATGGGACACTGACACAGGAGACAGCAGCAAACTCCTTTAAGTCACAGATGAAGCTTGGGGGCCCCCCGTCTTCTCCAAGCCAGTCCAGAAGATTGGCAGGATGGGAAGGCAGAGCACAATCAGAAACTATGGTCTTTTCATAAGAGATTATAGCAAGGTTTTTAATTTTGTTTTAAAAGAGGAAAAAAATATAACATCATGGTTACACAGAGGCTCTGGAGATTCCCTGGGTTCACAATCCTACTTCTGCCATTTACTAGCTGTGTGATCTTGAACAAATCACTGAGCTTCTCTGATCCTGTTTCCTCATCTCTAAAATACAGATAATGATAATGTTCTACTCATAGGGTTGTTTTGGGCATGCATGCAAATAAAACAGATTTTACGATCGAGTCATAGTTCTGGAAAGAAAAAAAAAACAGATTTTAGCACACAAGTATTAAGTAAATGTGAGCCCTCACTATTGTTAATACAACATGGCAGTGACACACATACATTAGACAAGAGATTATTACAAACTGAGCCTCCACCCAGTCTCCCTATTATCCTCCCGTGGGCTCCTAATTGATGACTAAACAGTGCATTGCTGGGTGGCTTCCAGTAGTTTCTTTCTTCACTTTGCTGCAACTTTGAACTGAAGGTGATCCACGTGGTACATGACATTCTTCCTGTTTTCTTCACAAGGATGATGTTTAAATGGGCATTTGTTTGAGGAATGACTTGGAGGGTTCCTCTCTTTCAGTCATCTTTTCTCAAAGACTAAGGTTGTGGACAGGAGGGGCATGGTAACAAGCCCCATATTCTATTCTTTTTTTTTTTTTTGGTACGGAGTCTCACTGTCACCCAGGCTGGAGTGCAGTGGCGCAATCTTAGCTCACTGCAACCTCCATCTCCCCGTTAAAGTGATTCTCCTGCCTCAGCCTCCTGAGTAGCTGGGACTACAGGCATGAGTCACCATGCACGGCTAAGTTTTGTATTTTTAGTAGATACAGGGTTTCACTATGTTGGCCAGGCTGGTCTTGAACTTCTGACCTCAAATGATCCACCTGCCTCAGCCTCCCAAAGAGCTGGGATTACAGGCGTGATCCATCGCACCCACCCCCACACTCTATTCTGAATGCATGTATGGGCACATGTGCATGCCCGTCCCCCTTCACTCAGTGATAAGGAAGAAGGGGAACCAGAAATTTCTCTTTGAAAAATTAGTAACAGAAATGGGTGTGGAGAGTTGGTTACCTGGGAGATCCTTGTTCATTTGTAACATCAGAAACTGCTTCTTTTCCTCCTTCTCTCTTCTAGAAGACTGTCAAGGAGCCCGAGTGAGGAAAGTAGACCAACTACAGTCTTGGAGAAAAGAAAATAGGGTTTCCATCCCTTCTGGAGGGAGAAGGAATAACAGAGATGAACAAGAATGAAGAAGGAAACAAATGGAAATAGACAAAATGAAGGTAAATGCCCTGTATGTTAAAAGAAAAAAAGTGATGAGAAGGGAGAGACACAAGGAAAGAAAGAGAGAAGCAAAGAGGTTAGGAATAGGGTAAGAGAAAAGGAAAAGCAGCAACCAGCAGAGGAATCACTCCCCTCTTAAGGTTAACCAGGAGGAGAGACGTAAGGCATGAATGTGAGTGGGTATGAGAGTCCAGCTTTCCCACTGCACTTGCTCTGGTTATGGAGCAGACTGCCATCTTCTGGTGCCATTTACTATTCAAGTTGCTTAGGTGTTTTATTTGTTTGTTTTGTTTTTTTACAACCAAGTGGATTGATTGAAATGTTTTGATTCTTCATTTGAAATGTTTCTATTCCACATACCCATTATCTTTTATCCCCACAAAAGCCCCTAACATTGTTTCCTTTAATCTTTTGGGTTCTCAAGCATCATTTTCACCAAAAGAGATGTACTTATCCACAGTTGTCTCAGAGCATGGAGGCTGAAAGTCTGTGAGGGCAAGAGCAAAATGGAGCAGATGATGGGCTGATGGTTGGTTATGGGATGCTTCGTGGGCTCTGGAACATCTGTGCCAAGAACTGGAGGACCCATCCTCGGCCCCAGCCAGACGCTTGGGGTACTATGTATTCTGAACCATAGCACTAGGTTGCAAAATGTGGCTTCTAATCTATACTCTGCCATGTACAGATCACAAAATATCGTACAAGGAGCCTTAAAAGATCATCTAACCTAAATCCAGTTTTCCAAGGAAAAAACTGGGGCACAAAGAGGTGAAGTAACTTGCCCAAAGTTATATAGTCAGGGAATTCCTTTTCGGAGACGAAGGAAATCAGAATAGTCATTCTCCTGATTCACCGTCCCTCGACAAACAGTCCATAAAGTGCTTGGAGGTTGTTAAAAGGCACTCCAGAAAGGTAAGGTTGGCATTTTCCTGGAAGCCCCTGAGTGTACAACCCCGGAGGCACCACAGTATTTGGCTATAAAAACAGGTCTGGAGTTGCTTTGGCCTCCATTTTAATCCCTAAAGCTGCCTGGAGGCTGGAGCTCTGATGGCTACCTGTCATCACTCCCCAGCCAGTCCGCGGACACTGCAGCCAGGAACTGTCAGAGGTGACAAGGGAATCCCGTCCTATTGCCAAGGACCAAGGAGCAGTGGCCAGATTCCTGGGATTAAGCAAGGCAATTATGGCTGAGTTAAAGCTAGGACGGGGGATCTGAGGTGGAAAAGGTGGGTAAGAAGAGGGAATGCGCCAGCAATCTAAATGACTTCGACTGGGTGGGCTACTTCACGTCATACCTCCTCCGTCTCCAAAAGGTTCTTAACCTTCTTCAACTGCCTAGGCCTGATGGACCTCCTCCCTTTCTCCCAGTGCCCACTCACTGAAGGGAACGCCACCATCATCCCCATTCTTTTCCTTTTTTTCTAATCCCTCCGGTGCCGTTTCGGGTCTCCTTCCTCCTACAGTCTGGGTCCCTTTCACTCACATCCAACCAGCTTTTAACACCCGGATCTCCCCGAGCTTCGTTGGTTCCGCCCACTCCCCCGGCCCCCCCGCCCCCACGCCCCTGATTTCCCCACCCTTCTTGCCCTCCCCGGCTTGACTCCCTTGGACTGCTCCCCACCAATCCTGGTCTCTCCTATTCCTCCCCGCCACATCGGGTCCCCCAGCCCCCGGGTGCCTTTGGTGTTTTCAGCCGTCGGCCACAGGCGCCTCGTCTCAGATAAAGTGGATCCAGCCCTGGGGCTCCGGGGCTCCGCCACTGCCCGGGTGCTCGGGCCCACGTAGAGCATAGTCACGGCCGCCGTTGTTGTCCCAGAACTCGTGACCTGTCACACGGTAGCGCAAAGCGAAGAGCAGGGCGCCCCCAATCGGTGGCGCGGGCAGGCGGAAGGCGAAGCGGTCGGCGCGCGGCGGAGGCGGGGCCGGGCCGGCGTAGGCGGCGGGCGCCTCGCGTTGGCTCCGCCAGCCGTCGGCACTCCAGCGCACGCTCACGCGCTTCTCGTAGGCCAGGTCCAGCACGCGCGCGCTCCCGGCCACGCCCATCGGGCCCGCCTCCGCGCGTTCCAGGCAGATGCGCTGCGCCTGCAAGCGGGCGGCGAAGCCGGGCTCGCTGGCCGGCTCCAGGGCGGCGCGCGCCTCCTGGAGGAAAGAAGAAGCGGGAGGAGGGAGTCCAGGGCGGAGAGAGGGGAGAGAGAGGGGGCGGTGTCAGAGCGAGGCACTGGGCCAATCAGAGGCCGACTCCGGCGTCCACGCCCGCAGAGTGCGGCCTCGCTGCCAGGGTGGCCTAGAGCCACTCGCAAATGGTGTACCCCAAACGGGATGGGCAGGCGCAAGCCCAGGGATGGGATGGAGATGGGTGCTCTTTGGCAAATCCACTCCCACACGCCTGCTGCGGCCGACTGAGGGAGGTCCCCAGGAGGGGAGGTGCCCCCGCCGCCTACCTGGAGGCCGCGGGCGCGGGGCTGGCAGGGCGCGAAGTGGCGGAGGGCGTCCCTCTGCAGTTGGATCTGCACGTGGCGGGGCACCCGGGGCAGCTCACCGGGACGGAAGCGGCGCACGGCAGCCAGCTCCAACCCCAGTGCGTCGGCGAAACGCACTCTCTTGCGGGTGTCTGGGCTACGGCTGCGGGGCGCTCGAGCCCCGCCGCCTCCGGCTGGTGCTGAGCGGGCCCGGCGGCCCCGACTAGGTGCGTGAGCGCGGGATCGTGCCCCGAACCGCGTCCCGCCCTCGCCTGGCTCCTCCTCTGGCTCCTCCTCGAGGCTGGGCCGCTGGCTACGGTAGTAGGCGCGCTCCGTTAGCGCGGCAATAAAGCTCAGGTTGCGGGGAATGTCGGTGCCCGGGGGCCGCTCACGGGACATGGCAGCCCCCTCCCCGGCGGGGCCAGCCCGCAGCGCCACCGCGCTCCCCTCTCTTCCTCTCTCCTGCCTGCACCGCGTCGGCGCAGAAGTCGCTGGGTCCGCTTCTGCAGCCCCTCGCCACTGCGTACTCTCCTTGCAGTCACCTCCAGGATCCTCCACCTCCCGTTGCTTTGCCTCTCCTCTGTGACCACCTTTCCCTCCCTCTGGCCGTCAGCTTCCAGGGTCTTAGACTATCACATCCTGCCTCCTGCTAGCGGTCTGCTCTGAGCGTGCGCTCAACGGCACTCACCCTCCGGTTCCAAGGCCCTCACGGCCCGGGTCCCCCCCGCCCACAGCCCTCTCACAGGTGGCTCCGTTTGTCTTCGCTGCTGCACCGGGGGCGGGGACTCCACCTTTTCGGTCCCGAGTGAGGCCACTCAACCTTTTTAAAAAAACACTCACGGGCCGGACGCGGTGTCTCACCCCTCTAATCCCAGCACTTTGGGAGGCCGAGGTGGGAGGATTGCTTGAAGCCAGGAGTTCAAGACTCAGCCTGGGCTACATAGTGAGACCCCTAATCTCTACAATAATAATAATAATAAAATGTAAAAAGTCCTCAACCTTTCCGGCATAGCATAGGAAAGGTTAACGCTGGGAAGAATAAAATAACCTTTCATTTTCTTGCAGGGGAAGGTTCAAAACGTCCAGCATGTGACTTTATCTTTGGGGTTCACTGTTTTCTGAAACCTAGGCTCCTGGTTTGGGCAGAGGGTGATGGTGGGTGCAAAGAAGGAAAGGTCATGAAAGCTAGGTAGAGTCTTTCAAATAGAAGGTGAGAATGTGGCACCCGAACTGAGAACTGCGGGAAGACCTAGCTTCTAATGACCTTGAGCAAACAAGGCATAACTTCTCTGGTAACTTCTCTGGACTCAGTGTTCGTGTGTGTGTATGTGTGTGTGTGTGTGTGTGATGGAGTCTCACTCTGTCGCCCAGGCTGGAGTGCAGTGTCGTGATCTTGGCTCACTGCAACCTCTGCCTCCCGGGTTCAAGTGATTCTCCTACCTCAGCCTCCTGAGTAACTGGGATTACAGGTGTCTGCCACCATGCCTGCCTAATTTTTGTATTTTTAGTAGACACGGGGTTTCGGCATGTTGGCCAGGCTTGTCTCGAACTCCTGATGTCAGGTGATCTGCCCGCCTTGGCCTCCCAAATTGCTGGGATTACAGGCATGAGCCACCACACCATACTCTGAACTCAGTGTTCTCGTCTATGAAAAAGTGGTGGAGTTCTGATTTCTAACCCAAGTGTAAGCCCTTTGAGGGCAGGGGCTTTGTCTGATTCATGGTGTTTTAGTATATGGTAGGCATTCAAATTATTGAATGAACAAGCACTCAACAACTCTCTTGGAGTTGGGACTGTGGAATTCCCAACTACTGGGAGCTTCCAAGAAGGACAGACCTGGCTTTTTCCTTTCTTTCTTTCTTTCTTTCTTTCTTTCTTTCTTTCTTTCTTTCTTTCTTTCTTTCTCTCTTTCTTTCTTTCTTTCTTTCTTTCTTTTTCTTTCTTTTTTTTTTTTTACATTAGTGGAAAAAAAAAGTGAAGTGTTTTTAGTTTTTTTTTTCTAACTTTCCTACTGATCTTATATAGCACTTAATGTGCTAGGTACTGTTGTAAGGGTTTGGCAAATACTAACCCATGTAATACAACTATCAGAGGAATAGAGACTATTATGCCTAGTTTAAAGATGAGAAAATTGAGGTAGGGGAGAGGACTCTTGCCCAGGGTTACATAGTTAATAATTGGGGAGGTGGGATCAGGACCTAAACAGTTTAGCTCTAGAGTCCACGCTCTTATCCACTTGGTTATATAAGATTAAAACATTTAACAATAATAGGTAACATTCTCAGAGTGTTAAAAGAGGGAATCTTAGGGTAGAAATGAAGTCTCTAAATTTAAAGCAGCAGGATAGTTTAACTGTAAAACCACAAGTGACTAAGTTGAAAATAAACCATAAGACACATGTTATCTTATTATTATACAACTCATTCCTGTTTACATGTATTCACACTAGTATTGACTGCAGCAATACTACTTAGCTAGGACTCATTTTTAAAGCAATATTGACTTTTTTATTTTATACATATATAGAATGCATGGATGTATTCTCTTCATATCGTTATATATGATACAAAATATACAATGTATATATTGTATATATACACAATATGTATATTATATATATGAATTACTGTATAATAAATCATACGTTACTTTGTATTACAAGCAAGCTGACCCAGGAGTTTGAGATCAGCCTGGGCAACATAATGAGATCCCCATCTCTATAAAAAATGAATTTAGCTAAGCATAGTGCAGCACACCTCTAGTCCCAGCTACTGGGGACACTGAGGTAGGAAGATTGCCTGAACCTAGATGGTGGAAGCTGAAGTCAACACTGATTGTACCACTGCACTCCAGTTTAGGCCGTGGAATGAGACCCCTGTCTCACAAACAAACAAACAAACAAACAAACAAACCAGGAGTGCAAATGAAGACTTGGAGTAGGTTATTCTCTAAAGGGGGCAAGCTTGCTGGTGGCAGCCAGAATGATCAGGCTAAGAACAAAAAAGAAATAAGATTGGCTGAAAGGATACAGCCATAAAGGAGTGTAATAGGCTGTGTGTTTTAGAATAGAGGAGAGAATTGAGTGTGGACATGTAAATGGTGTGGATTCAGACTATGAAAACAGTATTGACTATGCGAAGGCAAGAAGTGATCTTGAAGCAATAGTGTCAAAGTTACAGCATGAGATGGGAGTCCTAGCTTCTTGCATATCAGTATGTCTTTGGGCAAATCACTTAACCTCTCCAAACCTCAATTTCCTCATTCATAGAATGAGGATAAAACAGCATAAGGATTAGTGACAGGATAAAATATACATGTAAAAAAAGCACAGCATCTAATAACTCCTCAAAATATGTTTTTACTTTTTTTTTTTTTTGAGATAGAGTCTCGTTCTGTCACCCAGTCTGGAGTGCAGTGGCATGATCTCAGCCTCCTGGTTTCAAGCGATTCTCATGCCTCAGCCTCCTGAGCAGCTGGGATTACAGGCTGGCTAATTTTTGTATTTTTAGTAGAGATGGGGTTTTGCCATGTTGGTCAGGCTGGTCTCAAACTCCTGGCCTCAAGTGATCCACCCGCCTTGGCCTCCCAAAGTGTTGGGATTACAGGTGTGAGCCACCAAACCCAGCTAGTTGTTACTATTATTGCTGCAGAAAAGACCTTACTTCTCAAGTGACCATAAGGGCAGATGGTAATACAGAGGCTTGGGGCCGGGCGCGGTGGCTCAAGCCTGTAATCCCAGCACTTTGGGAGGCCGAGACAGGCGGATCACGAGGTCACAAGATCAAGACCATCCTAGCTAACATGGTGAAACCCCGTCTCTACTAAAAAAATACAAAAAACTAGCCGGGCGAGGTGGCGGGCGCCTGTAGTCCCAGCTACTCGGGAGGCTGAGGCAGGAGAATGGCGTGAACCCAGGAGGCGGAGCTTGCAGTGAGCTGAGATCTGGCCACTGCACTCCAGCTCAGGCGACAGAGCAAGACTCCGTCTCAAAAAAAAAAAAAAAAAAAAAAAAAAAAGCGATAGGGCAAAAAAAAAAAAAAAAAAAAAATACAGAGGCTTGGTTTGGAGGTAGAAGCAAAGGGTACTAGCAGAAGAGGAGAACTGGGTCGCCTCTTTCTGGCCTTTGGTTGGGTTGCTTTTTAAATGGAGCTGAAGAAAGTGCCAGATCCAAGAGCCCAGGGGGCTGGCTGTGAGTGCTCTCATGTGGATCAGCTGTGGTCAGATTGCTTCACACCTGTGACCCGCCCTGTATAAATATACTGCCATGTATAAATAATGGCCCCATATATATGTAATCTGGAAGGATAAACATCAAGCTTAACAATGGCAACCTGCAGGGAGGGAAGTGGAATTGGGTGTGTATGTGTGTGTGTGTTTGAGAACCTGCATTTTATTACTCCATACCTCTTTATTGTTTGATTTTTTTCACAATGAGAATTAGTTCCTGTGTTGGGTAAAAAAAAAAAGAAAAGAAAGAAAGAAAAAAAACCACTAAAATCAATCTGATTACAAAAGAAGATGAATTAAAGAAAAGTACCGGCAGAAACTGCTTGTGATCCAAGTCCTGGCTCCTTGATGCCTGGCTGAAGCCCAGCCCACAAAGACAACACTGGGTTAAAGGTCCTGGAGAAAAGATGGGAAAGGTTTGGTGTCTGTGTAGTGTCTGCTAGTCCCAAAAGGGTAAGGCACCTAGTAGACGGTTCCCAGCTTAATGGGAACTGCTCCTGTTTTCCAGGCACACAATTCAGGGCTGGAAAAGTTCAACAAGTGCATGGAACATCGGAAACCTCCTGGAAATGCTAAATTTGCCCCAAGATGTCCTGAAGTCCGGCATATTTCTCTGGGCAGCCTCGAGGCTCAGGAGCCCAGCCCAGCCCACCGTGCCCTCTCAGGCAGCCCTTCACTGCCTTCAGCAGCCCTCCCTCTTCCTGAGTAGTGGCCCTTCGCAGGCCTGCGTCCCAGCCCCGCCCCTCTCTCTGGACGCATCTTTGGGCCCCATCATCACCCGGCGCCGGGCCCTCCCTCTGCCCCCCCTTTCTCCTCCCTCCTTCCTTCCCTCCCTTCCTCCCTCTCTCCCTCCCTCCCAGCTCCTGCACCAGGAAACGGCCCGGATCCCGGCAGCGGCCTGACCCGTGAGATCCCTAACCTGGCAGGCGGGCGGGGTTGGAGACTGGCTGAGGTGGGGGTAAGGGAGGAGTTGGGCCTTTGGGCTGCACTAGGGGGAACCGCGAATACAGATGGTGTCGGCAGGAAGCCCTTGGCCCTGGGTTTCCCGGGAGGACAGTCATTAAACATGGATTCGGCCACACAGCTGGTAGAGCGTTGGGGGCAGGGGCCCAGGCCCAGAGCTGCAACCCCAGCCGTTCCCAGGCCAGAACCTGATCCCTGGCCTTCCCCTCCTGGTTCTGATCTCCCCCTCCCCTTTCCAGAGCTCCACGCTGGCCGGGAGGATGAAAGGCCCCAGCTGGGGGCTCCTTGCCACCAGTGCTGTGTCTTAAGAGCTGCCATCCCGGCTGGGTGAGTGTCTCCTTCCTTTCTCTGTCTGGAGTAAACCATTGCGTCTCCCACCTTTCTCTTCGGCCCATCTGCTCCCCCTCATCTTGTGCCTCTGCCAACATCTTTATATCTTGCATTTGGGGAGGTCCTAAGCCCCTTCCTCTAGCCAAGGAGGTGTGGACTAAGGAGGCCCGGGGGTGGGAGGGTTGTAGGGGTGTCACAGAGCTGACGTTGTCTTATTATGAAAAGAATCTGAAGTATCTCTAAACAGAAAATTTACTTGTTTTAAATGTAATTTGGCATATTAGGAATGTAATGGCCAGCCCCTCACAGCCTGGTCTCATATCATGACTTAATTCCCTTGTTCTTGCCTCTCCCTGTCTAGTGAGCTCTGAGCATTTCTTCTCTCCTCCTCATCTCACTGGGTTGGTCAAACCAGAAATGCCCCTTCTGATTCTCTCTCCATATATTCATGCCAGTGTTTCATCCTTGCCTCTTATAGCTGCCCGGATGGCGACCCCAGCCTCGGCCCCAGACACACGGGCTCTGGTGGCAGACTTTGTAGGTTATAAGCTGAGGCAGAAGGGTTATGTCTGTGGAGCTGGCCCTGGGGAGGGCCCAGCAGCTGACCCGCTGCACCAAGCCATGCGGGCAGCTGGAGATGAGTTCGAGACCCGCTTCCGGCGCACCTTCTCTGATCTGGCGGCTCAGCTGCATGTGACCCCAGGCTCAGCACAGCAACGCTTCACCCAGGTCTCCGATGAACTTTTCCAAGGGGGCCCCAACTGGGGCCGCCTTGTAGCCTTCTTTGTCTTTGGGGCTGCACTGTGTGCTGAGAGTGTCAACAAGGAGATGGAACCACTGGTGGGACAAGTGCAGGAGTGGATGGTGGCCTACCTGGAGACGCGGCTGGCTGACTGGATCCACAGCAGTGGGGGCTGGGTAAGAAGCTTCTCAATTGCCGCTCTGCACATCCCTCTGCAAAGCTGGTTTCCAGGGGGAAGATGGGAGCTCTGATTGGAGACTGAGGCAGCTATGTTGGGAATGAGGTGCGGGGCTGAGTCTCCCCGTCTGGGTGGAATCAGATTGAGAGATGCCTGGACTCTGCACTCCAGGGCTGCCATGCAGTCAACACTGGATGGGCTCATGGTCCCAAGCAGAGGACAGAATCCACACCCAAGGAGTGCCTGCAGGGGAATGTTGTCAGGGACTTTTTGCACCTGAGTCATGGTGTGGGAGGTGGGGAGGACCAGGGATGGGTGGTGGTCAGGCAAGCCTTGGCAAAGGATGCTAGTTCTGAGCAGAATTTTTCGCCAAGGAAAGGATGGAATTCACTGGAGGCAGAGTGGGCGGCAAATGAACCAGTCTCTCAGGGTGGGGGTGCACCTGGGGGGATCAGAGGGGCTTGCAGCCAGAAGAGCTTTGACCAGAGAGGAGCTGGGTATGGGGTAGTGTTGGCAGTGGATGGAACTGGAACTCTTCCTCTCCTCTTCTGTCCACTCTTTCCTCTCCTGATATCCCTTTCTCCTTCTTTCTCTCCTACTTCCCTTCTCTCCCACAGGCGGAGTTCACAGCTCTATACGGGGACGGGGCCCTGGAGGAGGCGCGGCGTCTGCGGGAGGGGAACTGGGCATCAGTGAGGACAGTGCTGACGGGGGCCGTGGCACTGGGGGCCCTGGTAACTGTAGGGGCCTTTTTTGCTAGCAAGTGAAAGTCCAGGGCCAGGTGGGGCTAGGTGTGGCTGGGGGCCAGGAGAGCAGGAACAGAACAGAGAAATGCCCTTGGAAGAAATGGAGTTGGTGGATGGGTGGGCATGGAACAGGATGGGCAGGGGAAGGGTAGTGTGTGAGGCAGCTGAGTAGGCCAGGTAGGCGATTGGAAGAGTGAGCAGGACACATAGGTGAGGGAAATGTTTTGGCAAGTTTAGGGACGCAGGAGATGGAGTCGAGCCAGGGCTGGGGGATGTGGGAGGGATCACACCTATAGGTGTGGGCACATGAAATGACCTGGAACTTGGTTCGCAGCCCTGAGGAAGGTGGACTTGCATAAGCAGTTGTATTCCATTAGATGAGTGGGATTTGGGGAACGCAGAAGGCACATCCTTTTGGAATGGAAGCTTGGGGGTTCTCAGGTGATAGGGAGAGGTGGCTGTAACAGTGGGCTGCTTGGACACACGTGTGCATGTGCACGCATGCTGGTGTGCATGCTGGGCTGCCTGGCAAATCTGGTGGTGGTGGGATTCCTCAAGGAGAAAACATTCCCTCTTGCAATGGCAAGAACTAGGGGCAGTTCTCTGTCCCTCCTCCCAACCCCTCCTTTCCCCTGCCCTTGTCCTGATGCCTCAAGGCTTAGAGAGAAACATTGTATCCAGACCGAGGGCTCTGCTGCTTCTCTCCAGAAAGTAATTGGCAAGGCTTTGAAGAGAAGAGCAGTTCTGCAGCTGGCCTTGTTCCTTCTTCATCCCCCTTCCTTGTGCATCATGCACTTGCTGCTGCCTCCCGGGCTCTGATAGAAGGGCAGGGCTGTTGAGCCTGGATGGGTGGAGGCTTAGGTAGCTGGACCTGCCTGCCACCCTCCTCTCCCACTCAGGCACAATGGTGCCTAAAGTGTTTCCAATCTCTGGGACCTCTGTACCCAAACTGAAACTCTAAATTGGGGCCCTAACTAATTTTCCTTTCGAGGTTGTGGACATAAGTGCTGATCTTGAGTACAGTCTGGGTCCCACACTGTGTCTCAGTGAGACTGTTGATGCCTTGAGAGGACCATTTCAGCCCTGAATCCCATGGGTGTGAGGGTGATGGGCACTCCAGGACTGGCCTATGCTGTGTTGTGGGCTTTGGTTCGGCTTTATCAGGGGCCAGGCATATGGGTTCTAGAGTACCTACCATGACCTAGAAGCATTTATGATTTGAAGCCACACTGTTTGCATGGGTGTTACTTGTCTGTACCTCAGAGTCTGAGGATGTTAACTTTGGAACTCGCAGTCCTCTAGAACAGCTTCAGATTATGGCTTTTTCTTTTGAGGAAGAAATTATTCTCTCCAGTTGCATGCCCTGAGCCAGACCTCACTGCTGCACTTTCCAAGGTGCTAAGATTGCTGCTCTCCAATGCTAACTTTCTGACACAGTGCTCTAGAACCCTGCCTGTGGTCCTGAGCACTGATCAGCTTAGCTAGACCATGGTTGACTCTTCTTGGAGATTTTCACTTGGTCCTAGAATGTGGCAACGTAGTTGTGCTCGCTAGAATGTGGGACCAAATTGGCCTCAGGTGTTTAGTCCAGACTTCTGCTTTTGAGAGAGGGCTGCACTTTTTAATGGTATTTCTAGGGGAGGTGGTAGGCTGCATGTGCCACTTGGTCTTGTGAGTATGCTGACACCAGAAACTCAGAGCCAGCTTGTGGCAAGCAGTTGGGGTGGGGGGTCTCTGACTTGCTCAGGACAAACTAGGCCAGTGGTTTTCAAACTGCTTGGCAGAGCCCTGAAGTTTCCTAGGGGTTGCCTCAGGAGTCCTTGGGGAGATGAAGGGGGTGGGGAGTTGAGCAGGCTGGGCAATTTGCCCTCAAACTGAACAGCTCCCCTTGTAGCTGTCTTACATATCGGGGTTCAGGGTAAGATTTTATTTGCATTAGGGGTTTGCTGCTGAAAAAATGTTGGAAAACCACTGACTAGACCATCGGCTCCAAATTGGAACCTGTGCTTCCTTCCCCAGGTTTGGAGCACACTCTTCACCCTACCCTCTACCACAGGACGCATATCCCTGTTAGCATTCCCCGGGACCTTTAGCCAAGAGGGGCTGCAGGGACCATGGCCAGGTTACCGAAATGCCCTGCTCTGAAGTCTCGACACCTGGGTGGAAAGAGAGGCTGTTTTCTGAAAGGGTAAAGGGCTTGGTCTGGATTCCCAAAAACAGAGCTTAGATGGGACCACAGTGGGCAATTTTGACCTGTCCTGCCCTTCTTAGCTTGAAGGGAAACCCCAGAGACTCTTCTGTCAGGGAAAACTAGGGACTCTCTTCTAGAGCCATATAGTTCCTTGGGATTAGCTCTTGGCCAAGAAGGCTGAGTATGGCTCCCAATTTTTAAATCCATTTCGTTTTTTAAAAAACAAGGGAAATAAATGTAATTGCCATTTTTCAAAGATTAAGTAGGAGGAGAGGGGTTTCTTGCTCTCCAGAGCCCAAAGGGACAAATAGAGACTTTGCTTAGGCCAAGGAAGGAGCGGAAGTAGGGCAACTCGGTCCTGCGATTATTAATCCCACTCCCCACTTATTCTAGGGCACACATACACTATTTTACTTTTTTAAAATCATAAAACGGCAGAACAGATTTGGTTAGTTTAGAAGAAAAGAAAGCTCTATAAATATAAATCTATATTCCTGTATTTTTATTTAATAATTTATAAATACCAAGTTCATTTGACTTTTATTTTTGTGTAATATGTAATGGTCGTATTAAAAAAATAAATAAAGCCCAGAAGTTTAATGAGAAGGACTGAACAGGGTTTGTGACTTCTACACTGTATAGCCTGGGGTCAGGACATTTCCTTGATCCAATCATCTCTTCATGACCTTGTAAAAGGCAAGAATTAGAATAACAGGGATTTGAGAGAAAGTGTTGGGATCATTAAAAAAAAAAAGAGTCTTTCCCCCATCCTCCTCACCCGACTCCTACAAAATGGTCAAAGCCAAGAATTCCATCTGTTCCAACCTGAGCCTCGGGAGGGTATGTGTATACGGTACTCTGGGACTGCCACTAACAATAACCAAATGAAAAACAAAGGAAACCTACCAAAAATCTTTGTATGCTAGTAATCAAGTCCCCAGTTGTGGTTCAGACTCTAATCAGAAGAGTGTGATAATAATAAACATTTCTCCATGGTGCCTTGCTGCCTACCTCAGACTTAAAAATAGGTCTGGACCAGGTGCGGTGGCTCATGCCTGTAATCCCAGCACTTTGGGAGGCCGAGGCGGGCAGATCACTTGAGGTCAGGAGTTCGAGACCAGCCTGGCCAATATGGGGAAACCCTGTCTCTATTAAAAATACAAAAATTAGCCAGGCATGGTGATGTGTGCCTGTAATCCCAGCTACTCAGGAGGCTGAGGCATGAGGATTGCTTGAACCTAGAAGGTGGAGTTTGCAGTCAGCCGAGATTGAGCCACTGTACTCCAGCCTGGGTGACAGAGGGAGATTCTATCTCAAAAAAACAAACAACAACAACAACAACAACAAAAAACAAGGCCGGTGGGGGGGGGAGGGTCTGGCAAAAATTGAGTCCCTGCTTCCTTTCCTGGTCCTGTGAGACATTTGATTTCAGCCATTTTAATGCAAATTGATAAACTGGATGGAATTTCTAGGAATATTCAGCCCATCCTTCTCTACCTCTAGTCTTGGACCACATCAAAGTCATGTCTAACTGAAACGGTGATCCTAATTTTAAATTTCAGGTGGGAATTTCTAGCCTTTCTGTAATCCAGTGCAATAGATTGGTACTTGGGTTTATGTGTTAAATTGCCAGAAATATAATTGTTTAGAGGAATCCAGCATTCTCTTTCTATTCTCTATACAAAAGTCGACAGGGAAAGCCATATTAAAATCAGAGAGTGGCTTAGTGAATATGGCACTATGGGAAAGGAAATTAGATGTTCTTAATAGTTAATATCATCAAGTATGATAGCTGCTGCATTTAGCTCCACTGCTGTGTGATTGATTTAATGATTGATTTACATTTGCCTAGTTCCAAAAAATATTTGCAACATCTTACTATAATACACAAAATAATAGGAAAACAAATTTTTAAAGTCAGGGTTGAATTTCAAGGTTAAGTAAAAAAAATAAGTAGGGGTAAAGGGAAAACTGAAATAAGATGGCAGCAAAAGGAAAATTAATGCACAGAAAAACATTCTATAAGTAGCATTTCCAAATACTAAAGCTAGGCTGTGAATTCGGCTGTGAGCTTCTTGGTGGCTAAAGCAAATTAAAATACAAAATGAAATTCACATTCCTCTTAGGATTTATAAAAGCCTATTAAGAGGGGGAAAAAAAAAATTGTGGCTTTTCTGAGAAGACAGTGATATAGTGGACACCACCTTCTGTGACATCTAAAAGCAAATATGATGTTGAGTTTTGACCACTGTTTCTTCAAAAAACACCAAATGGAGATTCAGAAGGTCCTATGCGAGAAATAACACTGGTGGAGAACTGTATGAAGGAAATACAATCCATCTATCACTTTAGATAGTCCAAAATTTAGTCCTGTATTAAGCCAAATCATCACAGAACAGCATATTTGGGCTAATTTGTCATGAGCCTAATAGAACACACCTAGGACCTTCTGAATCTATTAGAAGGTCCTAAGTGTGTTAGGACAAATGGCATCTTCAATAAAGTTGTGCAACACTTAGTTACAATTTCTAGTAAATGGATAGATTGTAGATTTTTTTTTTTTTTTGAGACGGAGTCTCGCTCTGTCGCCCAGCCTGGAGTGCAGTGGCGCAATCTCGGCTCACTGCAAGCTCCGCCTCCTGGGTTCACCCCATTCTCCTGCCTCAGCCTCTTGAGTAGCTGGGACTACAGGCGCCCGCCACCACGCCCGGCTAATTTTTTTATTTTTAGTAGATACCGGGTTTCACCGTGTTAGCCAGGATGGTCACGATCTCCTGACCTCGTGATCCGCCCGCCTCAGCCTCCCAAAGTGCTGGGATTACAGGCGTGAGCCAGGGCGCCCGGCCCTCTGTGTTGTTACTTAATAGCAGATCCTTTGAAGACTTTAAAAGCTGCCTTAAGGCTGGGCGCGGTGGCTCACGCCTGTAATCCCAGCACTTTGGGAGGCCGAGGCGGGCGGATCACGAGGTCAGGAAATCGTGACCATCCTGGCTAACACAGCGAAACCCGGTCTCTACTAAAAATAAAAAAAATTAGTTGGGTGTGGTGGCGCAGTGCCTGTAGTCCCAGCTACTCAAGAGGCTGAGGCAGGAGCATCGATTGAACCCGGGAGGTGGAGGTTGCAGGGAGCGGAGACGGCGCCACTGCACTCCAGCCTGGCGACAGAGCTAGACGCCGCCTCAAAAAAATAAAAATAAAAAATAAAAAAAATAAATAAATAAAATGCTGCCTTAAATGTAGATATAGGAGAAATACAGAAGTAAATCACCTATTTTGAAACTCAACCAGAAAACACACCACAATGAAATGCTGTGTAGTTTATTCAGTCATTTATGCAGAAAATATTCAAGCATCATCTATGTGCTAAGCACAGTTACGGGCTCTGAGGTAGAGTGAACAGACAGATGCAAATCTCTGTTCTCATGTTGCTTATGTTCTAGTAAGAGAAACAAAAAATTTAAAATTATATAATATGTGAGAAGGTGATGAATACCATAAAGAAAAGTAATTCATTGAGGGGAATGTGTGTGTATATATATATATACACATAAGAGTTCAATTTTAAATTGAGTGGTCAGAGAAGGCCTCATTTCTGAGGTGACTTTTGGGTAAAACTATGACAAAATTGGAAAAATATATTATTGATGTGGGAAGATGTTTGTCCTTTTTTTTTGATTGGGTAAAAAAAAAGAAAATAGATTAGAAAATAATATATACAGTATGATCCCATTTTGCTAAAATATTTATATCTGTGCGCCTTGATATATATTTGCATATTGAAAGTTTCAGGAAGCATATATGCCAAAATATCATTAGTGATTGTCTCTGGATAGTGGGCTTTATGAGTGCTTTTATTTTGTTATTTTTGCTGTCAGTATTTTCTGATTCTTTGACCATGAACATATATATTTCCAGATATTTCCAGTACAGTATATTAAAACAAGTTCTTTAGGTACAAAATTTTTAAAAAGTTAACAAAGCAGAATGGAAATTAGGCAGCCCAACAGAGGGTCCTTCATATTTAAGTGGCTACCCCACTTCCATGCAAAGGCAAACAGGGAGCTAAGGTAAGCAGGACCAGACCACATTAGAAGATTATTGAGGTCTGCTTCAAGATAGAGGTCAGTAAAGGAGAAAGGCTCCAAGTTTCTACATCAGCACTGTCCAATAGTATATTAATGCAAGCCACATGTAGTTTTACATTTTCTAGTAACCTCATTTAAAATGTAAAAAGAAATTATTAAACCAATTTTAATAATATTTTATTTAGCCCAGTATATAAAAATATTATCATTTCAACATGGAATTAATATTAAACAATTATTAATGAATTATGTCACATTCTCTTTTTCATACTAAGTCTTCAAAATTCAGTGTGTATTCAACACTTTCAGCACATCTCAAATTGGACTACTCATGTTTCAAATGGTCAGTAGCCATGTGTGGCTAGTGGCTATCATATTAAAGTGTAGCTCTAGATCGTAGATCATTATTGCAGTCTGTAAAAATTTCAAAGTAGTTCCAGATCATAGAGCATTATTGTTGTCTGTAAAAATTTCAAGAGAAGAGATAAAAATAGGGAGTAAACTACCAAGACGTCAAATATTTATGTTGTTTGGTGAGAAAACTTTTCTGGGAAGAACTATGAATGCCCTCACCCATTTTTACTACTTAATTCTCCTTTTCTCAACTCCACGGAGCCATTCCCTTCTTCTTCTTCTTCTTCTTTTTTTTTTTTTTTTTTGAGATCGCCCAGGCTAGAGTGCAGTGGCGCGATCTCGGCTCAATGCAACCTCTGTCTCACAGGTTCAAGTGATTCTCATGCCTCAGCCTGCTGAGTAGCTGGGATTACAGGCACACGCCACCATGCCCAGCTAATTTTTGTATTTTTAGTAGAGACAGGGTTTCACCATGTTGGCCAGGCTGGTCTTGAACTCCTGACCTCAGGTGATCCACCTGCCTCGGCCTCCCAAAGTGCTGGGATTACAGGCATGAGTCATCGCACCTGTCCCTCAAATAGTCTTTTAAATATGTTTGCTTTTTTCTTTTTTTGAGACAGGGTCCTAGTCTGTTGCTGAGGCTGGAGTACTGTGGCATGATCATAGCTCACTGCAGCTTGGAACCCCTGGGTTCAAGTGATCCTCCTGTTTGAGCCTCTGAATTAGCTAGGACTACAGGTGTGTGCCACCACAATCAGCCAAATGTGTTTGTTTCTTTCATAAGGTAATCATGCTTATTAGAAGAAATTTGAAAGTTGGAGTGATTTTTTAAAAATAAATATGTAATGGGCTGGACATGGTGTCTCATGCCTATAATTCCAACACTTTGGGAGGCTGAATTGGGCATATGGCTTGAGCCCCAGGAGTTTGAGACCAGCCTAAGCAACATAGTGAGACCTTGTCTTTACAAAAATAGAAAAAATTAGCTGGGCATGGTGGTGCATGCCTGTAGTCCCAGCCACTTTGGAGGCTGAGGAGGGAGGATCGCTTGAGCCAGGAGGTTGAGGGTGCGGTCAGCTGTGATCATGCCACTGTATTCCACGCTGGGTGACAGAGACCCTGTCTCAAAAAACAACGGCAGCAAAATAAACAAGTAAATAAATAATGATTGCGGAAAATTTGTAGAACATAGAAAATTATAAAGAAAATGAATCATAATGCTGTCACCCAGAGAGAACTATTTTGGTATACTTCTTTCCAGTATTTTTTTGTCTACTTTTATGATCATACGATTTTGTATACGTAATTCTGCTTATGATTATATTGCAAGCATTTTTCCTTGATGTTAAAACGTTTCAAAGGCATAATGACTATATACAATTACATCTACTTGTGTACAATAATTTTAATGCCCACTTGGTGATTTATCTGTATTTTTTCACTTCGATAAAAATATTTATTCTGGCTGGGCATTGTGGCTCACGCCTGTAATCCCAGCACTTTGGGAGGCTGAGGTGGGCTGATCACCTGAGCTCAGGATTTCGAGACCACTGTGGGCAACATAGTAAAACCCCATCTCTACTAAAATACAAAAAAATTAGCTGGGCGTGGTGGTGGTGCGCCTGTAGTCCCAGCTACTCAGGAGGCTGAGGCACAAGAATCGTTTGAGCCCTGGAGGCGGAGGTTGCAGTGAGCTGAGATTAGGCCACTGCACTCCAGCTTGGGCTGTGGAATGACTGTCTCAAAAAACAAAACAAAAACAAACAGGCCGGGCGCAGTGGCTCACGCCTGTAATCCCAGCACTTTGGGAGGCCGAGGCGGGTGGATCATGAGGTCAGGAGATCGAGACCATCCTGGCTAACACGGTGAAACCCTGTCTTTACTGAAAATACAAAAAAAAAAAAAAAATTAGCCGGGCGTGGTGGCGGGCGCCTGTAGTCCCAGCTACTCCGGAGGCTGGGGCAGGAGAATGGCGTGAACCTACGAGGCGGAGCTTGCAGTGAGCGGAGACAGCGCCACTGTACTCCAGCCTGGGCAACAGAGCGAGACTCCGTCTCAAAAAAAAAAAAATTCACAAATTGGATTACATTTTTAGAAGAGATAATAGGATTGCTGGGTTAAGAATCTCAACTTTTTTTTTTTTTGGAGACAGAGTCTTGCTCTGTCACCCAGGCTGGAATATAGTGTCACGATCTTGGCTCACTGCACCCTCCACCTCCCAGGTTCAAGCGTTTCTCCTGCCTCAGCCTCCTGACTAGCTGGGATTACAGGCACCCACCACCACACCCAGCTAATTTTTGTACTTTTAGTAGAGAGAGGGTTTCACCATTTTGGCTAGGCTGGTCTCAAACTCCTGACCTTAGGTGATCCACCCACCTCGGCCTCCCAAAGTGCTGGGATTACAGGCATGAGCCACCTCGCCTGGCCTTTTTTTTTTTTTTTTTTTGAGACAGGGTCTTACTCTGTTGCCCAGTCTGGAGTGCACGTAGCACCATTATGGTTCACTGTGGCCTCAGCCTCCCAAGTAGCTGGGCAGGGACTACAGGCGCATGCCACTATGCCCAGCTAATTTTTGTATTTTTAGTGGAGTATGAGTTTTGCCATATTGCCCAGGCTGGTCTTGAACTTCTGGACTCAGCAATCTGGCTCCCAAAGTGTTGGGATTACAGTTGTGAGCCACTCCGCCTGATCTTAAGAATCTCACCATTTTAAAAGCTTTTGGTACATATTGCCAAAGAATAGAAAGATTGTACTGGTTCTTGCTCCTTTTTTCCTCCCATGCTTAAGTTTTAAAAAAAAAATCATAGTTGTAATTATATTTTATGTACAATTTTACATTCTTCTTTGGCTTAACAAAATTATTTTCACATGTTTGTCACACTAGGTAACCCTTTTAATAGGTGCATAATAATTTTTTCTTGGATATAATTATAGTTTGCTTAAACTTTTGTCTGTTGTTGGATTTAGTCTTTCCATTTTTCACACATAATTTTTATGTATTAAAGCAGGCCTTATAGTAGTTTTGATCTGAGCTTTGAAAGCTGGCTTTGAATTCCCTGCACACTATTATATATATTACATAATATATATTATGTATTATATATATTATTTATATTTTTTCCTTTGAGACAGAGTCTTGCTGTTGCCCAGGCGATTCTCCTGCCTCAGCCTCCTGAGCAGCTGGGTTTACAGGCATGTACCACCATGCCCAGCTAATTTTTGTATTTTTAGTAGAGATGTGGTTTCACCATTTTGGCGAGGCTGGTCTGAAACTCCTGGGTTCAGGTGATCCTCCCGCCTCAGCCTCCCAAAGAGCTGGGATAACAGGCATGAGCCCAGCCAGCACTGCACACTTCTAATTAGTCCAATGACTTAAGCAAGTTTCTTCATTTCATTAAGCCTTTTTCTTTTTCCCTAAAGATGATTATGGTTTTGGAAATATTTTCCTCATGGGGTTGTTGTGAGAGTCCAATGAGATAATAAGGAGTGGTGCTTATTACAAAATCAAGCGCTCAACAAAAATAGGATTCAAAGCCATTTTTAAAAATCACATTTCCTTTCATTGGCTTGATTAAATTGGGTACCAATAAGATAAACAAATCTTGATTAGGTTAAGATTAGTATAAAAGACCTTTCTTCCAGGGTATTCAATCATTTAGAGCTTGTCTTCGGTGCTCAACTTTAGTTATCCCAGATCACTGAAGCTGAGATGGCTGATGAAGTAATTTGCAGTGAAATTTTAAGCGACTGTGACTCTGCTCCAAGTTCCCCAGATCTCGAGGTAAGGAATTGTGAGAAAAAGTGGGGGTGAGGGGAATAGTGGGGTATAATGAGTCACTTTTGATTTTTTGGTTTGCTAATGAAGATGTTCTCTTGTCCAAATCTCTCCGCCAACCATGTTTGTTTAACTTTTTGGTTGGGCTTATACGTATCTTTTGAACTGTAGGTTAGTGTGCCCACAAAAATTTCTCTTGCAAACTTACACTGCCATTTCTTCCTTTTTAATAAATGTGTTAGATTGCTACAAAAATGTGGCAATTCTGCCCTCCAGGGCTAGGTCTCATTCATATTTCGGATGCAGCCGTGTAGTGGGAGCCTGCCAGGAGAAATTCCTCTGGGATCTTGGGAGCTTGAGGGCTGAAATGAAGGGTGGCACCCAGATCCCCAATCAATGCATGCTCAGTCAACAAACATCTAACAGGACCTTATGTGGTAGGCATATTGCCAGGCTGTGGAGATGTGAATATAAATAGTATCCGGCCCCTCATTTGAAGGCGCTCACAACCTAGTTAAGAAACCACAAAACAATTAAGCGTGCTATGGAGAGAGGCCCACTTGTCCTGGGAAATGAGGGGAAGCTGGGGTTTGCAGTGGTTTGGTTGAAGGGGGACTACATGTTAAGAGGCACAGACTGGGTGCAGGTACATGAAACGGAACGAGAAGGGTGGAAGGAGACATCCACAAAGTAACCACATGCTGGGGTGTGGAAGGCTGTGATTTACCGTTTTGAGGCTTTACCTCGCCTGCAAAGGGGGACCAGTCTGTTAGCGGTGCAGATTGGAAGGGTGACATTGGAAGCTGTCCAGGGAAGAGAAGAAATTGGAACTAGGGAGCAGGAGGTCTACGCAAGAGGGCAGGACAGACAGGACTCGTGATTAGTAGCTCTGGACTGAGGAATCCTCCCTGCTTTCTGGTGTGGGAGAGCTAGTGGATGATGGTGCCAATAACCTGGATGGAGAAAGTAAGCTCCCTCCTGGAATGATTCATTCACAACCTCCATTTTCAGCAATATCCCATCTACTAGTTCTTCCTGGTCAGGATACAAGTTTCCTGAAACTGCTGCTCTGTTTTGGGCCTCACCCGGCCAACAGCTCACTAGCTGGCAAGCAGTAGTATCAAGATGGCGGCCCCCTAAGGGCTGGCTAGTCATGTGACTTCGGGTTTTCCAAGTTTGAAGTCGGGCAGTCCGTTCGGGGGCAAGGTTCACCTGTCACGAAACGAGTGTCACTCCTTCGAATCTCGCGAGCCAATCAGCATCTGAGACTGGGCCACTGCGGTGAGGCGATCGGAAGATTGGTCCTTTCCAGTCGCCTAGCTAGGGCCAATCATGGAGCGTCCTATACTTCGCGGGCCCGCCCGTAGGCCGGGGAGAAGCAGGAATATCGTCACAGCGTGGCGGTATTATTACCTAAGGACTCGATAGGAGGTGGGACGCGTGTTGATTGACAGGCAGATTTCCCCTACCGGGATTTGAGAATTTGGCACAGTACCCCGCCTTAGAGGTGGGGTCTCATTTGATTGCCAAGTAATATTCCCCAATGGAGTACTAGCTCGTGGTGACGGGCAGGCAGTTTGACTAATGAGTCCTCGGCGTGGCCGGCGCAGCTCTCCAATCGCCGGGCGGCGGGCCCCAGTCTGAGCGGCGATGGCGGCGGCGGCGGCGGCGGCAGCAGCAGCGGGGGCTGCGGGCGGTCGGGGCTCCGGGCCGGGGCGGCGGCGCCATCTTGTGCCCGGGGCCGGTGGGGAGGCCGGGGAGGGGGCCCCGGGGGGCGCAGGGGACTACGGGAACGGCCTGGAGTCTGAGGAACTGGAGCCTGAGGAGCTGCTGCTGGAGCCCGAGCCGGAGCCCGAGCCCGAAGAGGAGCCGCCCCGGCCCCGCGCCCCCCCGGGAGCTCCGGGCCCTGGGCCTGGTTCGGGAGCCCCCGGCAGCCAAGAGGAGGAGGAGGAGCCGGGACTGGTCGAGGGTGACCCGGGGGACGGCGCCATTGAGGACCCGGTGAGGGAAGGAGGGCGAGCCAGCAGGCCGGCGGCTGGCCGGCCGGGTCACTGGAGGCCCAGAGCTCGGGCGAGCGGGAGGCAGGCGGGGGGTGGGGTTGGGCGGGGAATAACGTGGCTGGGGCCGGGTCGGGCCGGGGATGGGTCAGCGATCACTACAAGGGGCCCGGCTGGCTTGATTCGGGCGTCACGGGTGCCTAGTGTTGTTCTAGAGAGGGTAGCTTGCTTTTCTTTTATCACGACCCTCGCATGGGGCGAGGGAAATGGCCGAGCGTGGCTGAGGCCGCGCTCCTGCCGAGAGCAGGGCACAGCCCCTGCGTTGGTTCCTCTTAAGCTCTCCTCCATACCCTCCGCACTTTTATTAGGAGCTGGAAGCTATCAAAGCTCGAGTCAGGGAGATGGAGGAAGAAGCTGAGAAGCTAAAGGAGCTACAGAACGAGGTAGAGAAGCAGATGAATATGAGTCCACCTCCAGGCAATGGTGAGTAACTGGCGGTTGCACGCGGAGCCAGGGTTCTCGGGCTGGAAGGGTTGTGGGGAAGATGGGGAATGTGGGGTAAGATACTCGGCACCCTGGAGCTGCTTGTCTGAGCTATTATGACTGTGCCGCGGTCATAATCCGTTGTGTGTTCGCCTGACCTTTGTGAGGCAGAACCTATATTTTGGTCGTGGTAGCCTTGTGCTTCCCTTTGTCCCTGTTATAATTGTGTTGCTCTTTGTTCTTAGTCTACGTCTATCCTTTGTAGAGGTTGCAAGCTCGCATTTGACCTTCAAATCTAATAGTTTTCTTCCAATTGGAAACGCTTTAGTTAGGATTCTAAGAGAAAGCAAGCTGCAAGGGGTTTCCCCTTTAATCTAGAAATGTGGAGTCTCAGCCCACTTAATTTTGCTCACTCTTAAAAGCATTTCAGCCAAAGCCATTCATTAGGGATTTGATTTGGAGGCAGGAGGGATTCCTATACTGTTTAAGTGTGTATTAGTTTATTCTTTCAATTTATCGAATGTTTAGTGAGTACCTGCTATGGACTCGGCACTATTCTAGGTTATGGGTACAGCAGAGAACAGAACAGACCAAAATCTTTGCCTTCGTTGAGCTAATGGGATAGTGCTGGTGGTGGAAGTGCAATATATTGGTCAAAAACAAGTGTGTGGTTTTTAAAAAATATTATTTTTTCCTGATAGCTGGCCCAGTGATCATGTCCATTGAGGAGAAGATGGAGGCTGATGCCCGTTCCATCTATGTTGGCAATGTATGTGCTGGGGCTCTGATTGGGATTGGGGGCAAGTTCTTCTTTTGGGGAGTTATTTAATAGTCCTGGAAGGAACATCTCCGGGATCGGTGTGGTTTTGGGGGTGTGTGGAGGGAGTGTGGGAAGGAGGTTAAAGGTAATGGAATGATCAGTAATCAGCAAAGGCTCTGGGTTTGGAAGCAAAAGGATTAGTTCCTCAAATTACCAGATTTCATGTGCTTTGGTGTATAGATGGCCCAGACCAAAGGCTAGGGAGGGTTCCTGTTGAGACAGGAATTTGCCTGGTGCCTGTGAAATTTTTCTCCTCTCATCAGGTGGACTATGGTGCAACAGCAGAAGAGCTGGAAGCTCACTTTCATGGCTGTGGATCAGTCAACCGTGTTACCATACTCTGTGACAAATTTAGTGGCCATCCCAAAGGGTAAGTAAAGGGGAGTAAGTTGAGATAATTTACAGTGCAAAAATAGATAAATTATGTTTTATAGTGAGCAGTAAGTTATTTGCTGTTAACACAGGTGATCTGTGTCATTTAAGATCATGGCATCAATTTTGATATATATCAAGAGTTGCACCTAAATGTCTTCAGAGGCCAGATAACAAAAATGAAGGCTAGGTGTGGGTGGGATCACAAACTAGAAGGGGAGGGGCAGCTTCTACTTGGCCTGTTATGGCCATATGGAAATTCAGGCCCTGTGTGTCTTATTTTTACAAGTTTCAAAGAGTAGCTGGAAATTTTAAAATTTAAATGATTTTGAATGAAATTTTCCATTTAGAAGAATTTTGACAAATAAAAAATGTAACCACATTGTAGCCCAAAAAGAAGCATGCCTGCAAGTTGAATTTGACTTGTGAGGTATTTGTAACCTCAGAGAGATACAATGACAATTCTTTTCAGATTTGCGTATATAGAGTTCTCAGACAAAGAGTCAGTGAGGACTTCCTTGGCCTTAGATGAGTCCCTATTTAGAGGAAGGCAAATCAAGGTAAGCCTATGTCCATTGCTGTTCTGGTTCTGTATAAACTCTCTGGGTTGACTTTAAGGCTATCATTTGTTCATCTCTGACTCAGGTGATCCCAAAACGAACCAACAGACCAGGCATCAGCACAACAGACCGGGGTTTTCCACGAGCCCGCTACCGCGCCCGGACCACCAACTACAACAGTTCCCGCTCTCGATTCTACAGTGGTTTTAACAGCAGGCCCCGGGGTCGTGTCTACAGGTCAGGATAGATGGGCTGCTCCTCTTCCCCCCGCCTCCCATGAGCCCTGTATGCTTCCTTCTCTCCTGGTCTGAGGAACCTCCCTCCCCCACCCCTCCCTGTGGTCTTCAGGAACTTTGTCTCCTGCCTGTGCAGGGTGAGGAAGGTAGTTGCAGGCCAGGCCAGAAGGCCAACTTCATCATCTTTTCTGCAGTAGGAATTGGTGATAAGGGCTGCATCCCTCCCTTGGTTCAAAGAGGCTTCCACCCCCAGCCTTTTTTTTCTTGGGAGTTGGTGGCATTTGAAGGTGTTTACACGAAGCCAGGAGGAACAGGGCCTCCAGGCAGTGAAAGCACTGCTTGGACATTTGTTACTTTTTTCTTTTTTCGGAGGGAGGGGTTGAAGACTGAACCTCCCTTGGAAGAATACCAGAGGCTAGCTAGTTGATCCTCCCCAACAGCCTTGTGGGAGGATTTTGAGATATTTACTCTTTATTTGAGCCAGTTTTGCAAGGTTAACTTCTCACTGGGCCTAGTGTGGTGTCCAGGTTTTTGCCTTGCTTCACTTGTCTCTTTACATTTAAATAGACAGGTTAGGCATATAAACCTTGGCTTTTCATAAACTCTACCTGCCTATTCCCAGGAGTTAGGGAGGATCTATTTGTGATGGCCTAGGGTATAAGAGCTGTGGAGGACTGAAAACTGGATAAAAAGAGGGTCGTTTTTCTTGCCCTTGTTTCTCACTCAGATGCACTTCTTTTTTGCCACTGTTTGGCAAAGTTTTCTGTTAAGCCCCCCTCCCCCTGCCCCAGTTCTCAAGGTGTGTTACTATTTCTGGGATCATGGGGTCAGTTTTAGGACACTTGAAAACTTCTTTTCCCCACTTCCCTTCACAGTAACTGGGTCAAGGGCCCACGGGGAGGGGCTTGTACTGAACTATCTAGTGATCACGTTAACACCTAACTCTCCTTCTTTCTTCCAGGGGCCGGGCTAGAGCGACATCATGGTATTCCCCTTACTAAAAAAAGTGTGTATTAGGAGGAGAGAGAGGAAAAAAAGAGGAAAGAAGGAAAAAAAAAAGAATTAAAAAAAAAAAAAAGAAAAACAGAAGATGACCTTGATGGAAAAAAAATATTTTTTAAAAAAAAGATATACTGTGGAAGGGGGGAGAATCCCATAACTAACTGCTGAGGAGGGACCTGCTTTGGGGAGTAGGGGAAGGCCCAGGGAGTGGGGCAGGGGGCTGCTTATTCACTCTGGGGATTCGCCATGGACACGTCTCAACTGCGCAAGCTGCTCCCCATGTTTCCCTGCCCCACTTCGTCCCCTTGGGGGCTGCTCAAGGGTAGGTGGGCGTGGGTGGTAGGAGGTTTTTTTTTTACCCAGGGCTCTGGAAGGACACCAAACTGTTCTGCTTGTTACCTTCCCTCCGTCTTCTCGCCTTTCACAGTCCCCTCCTGCCTGCTCCTGTCCAGCCAGGTCTACCACCCACCCCACCCCTCTTCTCCGGCTCCCTGCCCCTCCAGATTGCCTGGTGATCTATTTTGTTTCCTTTTGTGTTTCTTTTTCTGTTTTGAGTGTCTTTCTTTGCAGGTTTCTGTAGCCGGAAGATCTCCGATCCGCTCCCAGCGGCTCCAGTGTAAATTCCCCTTCCCCCTGGGGAAATGCACTACCTTGTTTTGGGGGGTTTAGGGGTGTTTTTGTTTTTCAGTTGTTTTGTTTTGTTTTTTTGTTTTTTTCCTTTGCCTTTTTTCCCTTTTATTTGGAGGGAATGGGAGGAAGTGGGAACAGGGAGGTGGGAGGTGGATTTTGTTTATTTTTTTAGCTCATTTCCAGGGGTGGGAATTTTTTTTTAATATGTGTCATGAATAAAGTTGTTTTTGAAAATAAAAATTGTTTGGCCTTTTGGGTGTAAGGATTATTTATCTTCCTATTCTCTCTTAGATCACAGATGGCTATTAATTCTGCTTTGCGGTAGAAGTACTGGTGTTGTGGAAGGGAGGTTGCCACTTGTGAATTAAGGAGTAGGAGTTAAATTACAACTAGCAGGAACATTATGTGTTTAGTTGACAATGATAGGTTTTCTGGATAACATGTAACCCTGATTGGCATTTGAGAGAGAAATAAGCCTGGGAAAGTAAAAGAATAACCGAATTACTGACCTCATGGCGCTTTTGTGTGCTCCTGATACAACTTACATGCAAATGAACTATCCATGCCAGTAGCCCTAGAGCTTTGGATTGAGGTCTGGTTAACCTTTCTTGTCTTTGGGGTCTGACTATGTTGACCAGGCTTTTCTCAAGCAATCTTCCCATCTTAGCCTCCCAAAGTGTTGGGATTACAGGCGTGAGCCACTGCGCCCAGCTACCTTTTCTACCTCAAGGTGGGCCCAAGAAATGCAAAAGACAAAATACACTTAGCCAACAGACAATGGGAAAGCTTGTTTTTTCCAACAATACAGTAACCATTTAATGTGTCTAGCTAACTTACATTGATTGGACCGTTTTATTTTTTTGAGATGGTCTTTGCTTTGTCACCCAGGCTGGAGTGCAGTGGCTCACTGCAGCTTCAATCTCCTGGGCTCAAGTGATCCTCCCACCTCAGTCTCCTACATAGCTGGGACTGTAGGTGCCTGCCACCGCACTTGGCTAATTTTTGTTGTTGCTATGTTGCCCAGGCTGTCCCGAACTCCTGAGCTCAAGCAGTCCTGGCTTGGCCTTCCTATAGTTGTGAGCCGCAGCGCCTGGCAAGGATCAGTTTATTAGGACTTCACAGCTGGCTTTCACTGTTTTCATATCTAAAATTTGTCTTGAGCATTGTAATTTCTCCATTTTTTATTCAATTGTCAGATTGGTCTTAAAACTTGAACACTACATCGTTAGCCAGCTCGAGCCTTCAGACTTTGTTGCCTATAGAATTCCTTAGTATTTCAAACTTACTATTTTTTCATTTACTTTTCAGGATGTTTTGTTCACAATTGCCTCTGACCTGGATGCTCTTCAAAAATCGTATGTTAAAGAAATGGCTCTGTGGCTGGACATAGTGGCTCATGCCTGTAATCTCAGCACTTTGGGAGGCGGAGGTGGGCGGATCACTTGAGGTCAGTTCGAGACCAGCCTGGCCAACATGGTGAAATCCCGTCTCTACTAAAAATATAAAACTTAGCCAGGCATGGTGGCTTGCACCTGTAGTCCCAGCTACTCTGGAAGCTGAGGCAGGAGAATCGCTTAAACCTAAGAGGTGGAGATGGAGATGAACTGAGATTGAGCCACTGCACTTCCAGCCTGGGTGACAGCGAGACTCTGTCTCAAAACAAACAAAACAAACACAAAACTGTTATATCTGAAGCCTTAACCCACCTCTCAAATTGCAATATTTTCTAAAATCTCATGTCAGTGTTACCTACCACATATTTTAGCATTTTGTCATTTATTCTACCTTGTTATGGGTTAGGCATTTGAGGTCTATCTTTTCTCCTAACTAGATTCACCTAAAATAGTGCCTGGTGATCTCTGTGGCTTCTGCAGGGGCTGATTAATGAGGGTCTGGATAGTGTTCAATATAAACTTTTTACTGGAAGAATGAAACAACCTAAGTGACTTGTTGCTGTTAATGCTGTGATGGCCTCATCTGTCCACCAGGGGGCACTAAATGGCTGGCTCTAAACGATCCCTATACATGGTTGGGTCTTGGAGGGTAAATCATGTTTTGACCCTTCTCTGGTTTAGTTTTCCATGTTCAGTCAATTCAGTCAATTCTACTGTATCTTGTCTGTTCTCTCTATTCCTACATTCACTGCTTGAGTAACTCCCCATCATCATTGCAGGGGTCCTGGCGGATGTATTGGCTTCAAACTTTTTTTTGAAAAATAAAAATTCCTAAAAAAATTATTTGAAAAGATAGGGTCTTGTTATATTGGCCAAGTTGGTCTTGAACTCTTGGCCTCCCAAAGTGCTAGGTTTATAGGCATAAGCCACCATGCTCAGCCTGCAAACTTCTTATTGCCAAAAAAGTCCTCTATGATGCCACTGATAAGTACAAAGTACAAACGCAAACGGAACTACAACCTTTTTTTTTTTGTTTGTTTGAAACTCAGTCTTGCTCTGTCACCCAGGCTGGTGTGCAGTGGCGCGATCTCGGCTCACTGCAACTTCCGCCTCCTGAGCGATTCTCCTGCCTCAGCCTCCCGAGTAGCTGGGACTACAGGGGCCCCCCACCACGCCTGGCTAATTTTTTTTGTATTTTTAGTAGAGACGAGGTTTCACCGTGTTAGCCAGGATGGTCTCAATCTCCTGACCTCATGATCCACCCGCCTTGGGCTCCCAAAGTGCTGGGATTACAGGTGTGAGCCACTGCGCCTGTCCGGAACTGCCACCTTTTTCAATCTGATCCTGATTACATTTCCCTTCCACATCCTGCCCTACATCTGATGTACTATGCATTCTATTTATTTTCATGTATCCCTCATGCTGTTCCCTCTAGCCTCCTATGCTCATTCCAACTCTTCTATCAAAATCATGCATATCCTTCTAAGTGTAAGCCAGGTACAACAGACATGAAGCCTTTCCTGATTTCCTAGTCAGAAGTAATCACTCCTGCAGTCAGGACAAACTGGTCCTATCCCTGTTTAATATTTACTTCGTGGTTTTATGATGGAAATAACTACATTTCTGTTTTCCCATTAGAATGCAAGCTCCTGGAGAGCATCGATTGTGACTTTGTGTCTACCTCACAGGGCCTGCCACTTAGTAGGTGCCCAAAAGACGTTTGTTCACCCTGGGCTTGCCTTTCCTGTCCTGGAAAAGGTAATAACAACAACAGTGTTGCCTTTAACCTGGACCTGATAGTTTTCTTCTTCCTCCAGAGAATCCCTGATCTCTCAAAATTTGGTTGAGATCTAAAGTTTATTTTGCTCGACAACTCCTTTTCTGGAGTTTTTTTTTTTTTTTTTTTTTTTTTTTCCTGAGACGGAGTTTTGCGCTGTCACACAGCCTGGAGTGCAGTGGCCCAATCTCAGCTCACTGCAACCTCCACCTCCCAGGTTCAAGCAGTTCTCCTGCCTCAGCCTCCTGAGTAGCTAGGATTACAGGCACACGCCACACGCCTGGCTAATTTTTGTATTTTTAGTGGAGACGGGGTTTCACCATGTTGGTCAGGCTGGTCTCGAACTCCTGATCTCGTGATCCACCCACCTCGGCCTCCCAAAGTGCTGGGATTACAAGCATGAGCCCCCGCGCCCGGCCTTTAGTTTTATTCTTTTTAAGAGTCAGACTATTTTACTTAAAAGATACTAGGTTTAGAGGAAGAAGCATGGAAAGAAAGTTACTTTTTTTGTTTTTTGTTTTTTGTTTTTTATTTTGAGACGGAGTCTCGCTGTGTTCCCCAGGCTGGGAGTGCAGTGGCGCGATCTCGGCCCACTGCAAGCTCCGCCTCCCGGTTCACGCCATTCTCCTGCCTCAGCCTCCCAGAGGCTGGGTCTACAGGCACCCGCCACCACACCCGGCTAACTTTTTTTTTTTTTTTTTTGAGACGGAGTTTTGCTCTTGTTGCCAAGGCTGGAGTGCAATGGTGCGATCTCGGCTCACCACAGCCTCCGCCTCCCAGGTCCAAGCAATTCTCCTGCCTCAGCCTCCTGAGTAGCTGGGATTACAGGCATGCACCACCACGCCTGGCTCATTTTGTATTTTTAATAGAGACGGAGTTTCTCCATGTTGAGGCTGGTCTCGAATTCCTGACCTTAGGTGATCCGCCCGCCTCGGTCTCCCAAAGTGCTGGGATTACAGGCGTGAGCCACCGCGCCAGGCGAAAGTTACTTTCCTTGGGCAAGCTTGGTTGTTTTTGGTAGATGATTTCTGTCAGTCACTCCTGATCAGTTCTCTGTTAACTGAGGGATAGAAATGAGCCCAATCTCACTGGAGTTCTATGGAAAGAAAGAGACTGGGAGAGCCTGTGTATAAAATCTGTCTGGGGTGAAGGTCTGTGAATCAGAGATCTTTAGAGGGCCTTTGGATGATGCAAAATAAACCGAGGCAACCCAGTGCTTTTTAAGGTAGAATTCACCCAATCCTACATTGGCAATGGAGAAAAGAAGCAGTTGGTGGGTTTTTACAATAATATTGCTGCTTTCCTTGTTTTTATGTAGGGTTAGAATGAGCAGCCTTTCTCAAATTATGATCACATTTTTTATTATTATTATTATTATTATTATTATTATTATTATTTTTGAGACGGAGTCTCCCTCTGTCACCCAGGTTGGAGTGCAGTGGCGCACTTGGCTCACTGCAAGCTCTGCCTCTCGGGTTCATGCCATTTTCCTGCCTCAGCCTCCCGAGTAGCTGGGACTACAGGCACCTGCCACCACGCCTGGCTAATTTTTTGTATTTTTAGTAGAGATGGCATTTAACTGTGTTAGCCAGGATGGTAATTTCTTTATTTTTTAGTAGAGATAGGGTTTCACCATATTGGCCAGGCTGGTCTTGAACTCCTGACCTCATGATCCGCCTGCCTCGGCCTCCCAAAGTGCTGGGATTACAGGCGTGAGCCACCACGCAGAGCTAGAATTTTATTATATTTTATTTTTTGTAAAGATGAGATCTTGCTATGTTGCCCAAGCTGGCCTCAAACTCCTGGGCTCAAGTGATCCTTTCACCTCAGCCTCTCAAAGTGCTTGGATTATAGGCATGAGCCACCATGCCGGGCCCAGTATTCCTTTTTATAGCTGAATAGTATTTCATTGGATATAACACGTTTTGTTTCCATCATCAACTGATGGACATTTGGGTCGTTTCCATTTTTTTGGCGATTACAAATAGTCCTGCTCCAAACAACTATATAAGTTTTTGTGTGAACATATGTTTTCATTTCTCTTGGGTATATACTTAAGAATGGAGTTGCCGGGTCATATTGTGCTATGGTTTGGGTGTTTGCACCTCCACCAAAATCCATATGCTGAAATCCTAACCCCCAAAGTGATGATATTAGCAGTTTGGTACTTTTGGGAGGTAATTAGGTCATGAGGGCAGAGCCCTCATAGGAGAAGCCCCAAGAGCTACCTTGCCCAAGAGCCTGTATCTCACTGTATCACATGAGGATACAGCGAGAAGGTGCCATCTATGAACCAGGAAATGGGATCTCACCAGATACCAAATCTGCCAGAACCTTGATATTGGGCTTCCCAGTCTCCAGAACTGCAACAAATAAACTGTTGTTTGTAAGCCACCCAGTCTACCTTATTTTGTTACAGCAGCCCAAATTAATGGACTAAGACCCATGGTAACTACCTTTAACCTTTTGAGGAACTGGCAGGCTGTTTTCCAAAGCAGCTGCATCATTCTACATTTTCACCAGCAATGTATGAGGCTTCTGGTCTCTTCACATCCACACCAAACTTGTTATTGTCAATCTCTTTGGTTATAGCCATCCTAGAGGGTATGAAGAGGTATTTCATTGTGGTTTTAATTTGCATTTGTCTGATGACTCAAAGATGTTTAGCATCTTTTCATGTGCTTATTTGCCATTTGTATGTGTGTGTGTGTGTGTATATATATATATGTCTATTCAGATTCTTTGTCCTTTTTCTTTTTTTGAAACTGGGTCTCACTCTGTCCCTCAGGTGGAGTGCAGTGGCGCAATCACCGCTCACCACAGCCTCAACCTCCCTGGGCTCAGGTGATCTTCCTACCTCAGCCTCTTGAGTAGCTGGGACTACAGGTGTGTGCCACCATGCCCGGCTAGTTTTTAATTTTTCTAGAAATGGGGTTTCACCATGTTGCCCAGGCTGCTCTTGAACTCATGGGCTCAATCAATCTGCCTGCCTCAGCTTCCCAAAGTGCTGGGGTTACGTGGATGATCCACCAAGGCTGGCCCTCATTTTTAAATTAGATTGTCTTCTTGTAAGACTTCTTTTTAATTTTTAAAAATTTTTTTAATTTTTATTTTTGGAGATGAGGTGTTGCTATGTTGCTCAGGCTAGCGTACATAGGCATGGTACTCCAGTGCATGCCATAGTGCACTTCAGCCTTGAACTCCTGGCATTAGGCAAACCCTCCGCCTCAGCCTCCCCAACAGCTTGCCCAGCCTTCCTTTGCTGAATACTGAATACTGAAGACTAGACTTATCAGATATATGACTTACAAATATTTTCTTCCATTTTGTGGGTTCTTTCCTTTCTTGATAGCATCTTTTGAAGCACAAAAGTCATGAAGATGTGTCTATATTTTCTATGAGAGTTTTATAGTTTTAGCTCTTATGTTTAGGTCTTTGATCCATTTTGAGTTTTTTAAAAAAATATTTATTTATTTATTGAGACAGAGTCTAACTCTGTCACCCAGGCTGGAGTGCAGTGGTGCAATCTCGGCTCACTGCAACCACTGCCCCACTGGATTCAAGCAATTGTCATACCTTAGCCTCCTGAGCAGCACCTCCTGATTACAGGTGCCTGCCACCATGCCCGGCTAAGTTTTGTATTTTTAGGAGAGACAGGGTTTTACCATGTTGGCCAGGCTGGTCTCGAACTCCTGACCACAAGTGATCTGCCTGCTTCGGCCTCCTGAAGTGCTGGATTACAGACATAAGCCACTGAACTCCACCCTTGAATTTATTTTTGTGTATGGTATAAGCCAGGGGTCCAGTTTTCTTCATTTGCATGTGGATATCCAGTTGTCCCAGTATCATTTGTTAAAAAGACTTATTTTCCCATTAAATGGTCTTGGTCCCCATTTTGTAAATCATTTGACCAGTCTCTGGACTCAAGTCTATTCCATTGATTTTCATGTTTGTCCTTGTGGCAGTAACACACTGTCTATATTACTGTAGCTTTGTAAAAAAATTTGAAATTTTAGGAGTGTGAGTCTGCCAATTTTGCTCTTTTTCAAGATTATTTGGCTACTGTGGGTCTTTTGCATTTCCATGTCAATTTTAGAATCAGCTTATCAGTTTCTGAAAAAAGACAGCTGGGACTTTAATAGTGAATACACTGAATATGTAGATCAATTTAGGGAGTACTGCCATCTTAATTATATGTATATGTATATGCTTTATTTTTTTATTTAATTTTTTTGAGATGGAGTCTTGCTCTTGTCACCCAAGCTGGAGTGTTGTGGTACAATCTTGGCTCACTGCAGCCTCTACCTCCTGCATTCAAATGATTCTCCTGCCTCAGCCTCCAGAGTAGCTGGGATTACAGGCACCCTCCACCATGCCTGGCTGATTTTTGTATTTTTAGTAGAGAAGGGGTTTTACCATGTTGGCCAGGCTGGTCTTGAACTCCTGACATCAAGTGACTTGCCTTGGCATCCCAAAGTGCTGGGATTACAGGCATGAGCCACCATACCTGGCTCATCTTAACAATATTAAGTCTTCCAATCCGTGAACACAGGATGTCTCTTCATGTATTTAGGTCCTTAATTTCTTTCCTTGGTGTTCCATAGTTTTCAGTGTACAAGCCTTGCACTTCTTTCTTTAAATTTATTCCTAAGTATTTTGGGATTTTTTTTCTGCTGTAAATGGAATTGTTTTCTTAATTTCATTCTCAGATTTTTAAAATTGCTATTGTATGGAAGTACAATTGAATTTTTATATTGATTTATTTTTTCTTAATTTGTTTTTAGAGTCAGAGTTTTTCTGTCACTGAGGCTGGAGTGTGGTGGTGCATTCATAGCTCACCGCAGCTTTTAACTCCTGGGCTCAGGTGATCCTGCCACCTCAGCCTCCTGAGTAGCTGGAACTACAGGTGTACGTCCCCACACCTGGCTAATTAAAAAAAATTTTTTTTGTAGAGATGCGGTCTTGCCATCTTGCCCAGGTT